TTCATGTATTGGCATATTAGCATGTCTATGTATCAAAAAGCAAGAAAAAGATCAAGTAATGAGATACACCTGGCTAATTGAATGAAAAGCACTTTGATTTGATTTTCAATTGAACACCATTGGATTGTTTGTTTGAGTTCGAATTTAGGAGGATTCAATTTCATAACACTGCCTAATTAGTAGCTACTTATCTTTTATGCCTAAAAGTTATTTAGAGTAAGTTGGTTTGCAATTGAAAATGAAACTTAAGGATTTTTGTATCTGCTTTAACTTTGGAGCAGTGTTTGTTTTAGCTTTTGGCAAAAGCAAGGTTGGAGATTAAAGAAAGGAATATGTCTGAAAGGAATATTTCAGGAGGCTTAACTAAAAATAAGCCTTATTTTAACGTGGACTACCGCTAGAATAACAGGAAAAAAAGGCCAATTGATCCCAATAACTTGAGATTAATCAGAACCTGTATACATAAACAATGAATCACATAAAAATGAATAGACAAAAGTGTTACCAAACAACAACAAACATTTCATTCAGTCATCCGTCAACTAGTGAGGTTGTGACTTGGAATCGAAGCTATCCATGCAGCATATATTTGATAGAGTTGCTTTTAATAATCCGTCAACTAGTATTGAAATTGCATCTTCTCAAGATATAATAATGTGCTTGCTAGTTTTCTACTAATGTGCTTGCCAGTTTTGATTAACATTTACTTTTGTATAAGTTTGTAGTACTAAGTTACTAACTACTATCCTCTTATTGTTTTGTGTGAATTAGATGAACGCAAAGGCGTCAAAGGTCTCAAGGGCCTCAAGCTCAAGTTCAAACTCAATGAGATCAAAATCAAATAGCCCTCATGATCAAACAAACTCATCTTCGAGTATACCATCGGAAGTAAGTAGTCATATCTTTCTATTACTTTTGCCCTTGTGTTTAATAATTAATTCATTAATTGTAATGAATCTCTTATTTTAGATGGACATTGGTGAATCAACTCCGCCTCAAAACACCATGGTGGCACCTCGACAAACTCCTAGTTCTCTTGGTGGATCCGGAAATCCCGCCGATGCAACTCCAAAAGAAGGTGACCAAAGTGACCAAGTAAGTAAAGAAGAAACTCTTTTGGAATCATTAAAAAGTCATGAAAGGTCTAAAGTTTGGGAGCACTTTGAAAGAAAAATTGAGGGTGGTAGAGTTAAGGGGTTGTGCAAGTATTGCGCTCAATCATATATGGCCGACCCAGATAAAAATGGTACAACTAATTTAAGAAACCATATAGCAAGATGTAGAAGCTACGGTCCTAATAAGGAAATATTTGCCGCAAATAGGCCAAAGATCTTAACCTTTGCCGGCACGAAAGATAAGTTGGAAGCTATAGGTTTTTCTCAACAAGAAGTAACTAAGGCTTGTGTTGAGATGATAATTATAGATGAGTTGCCTTTTACTTTTGTTGAAGGAGAAGGTTTTCGCCGTTTTTGCATGCAAGCATGTCCTATGTGGAGAGTGCCTAGTCGTAAGACAATTGCTAAGGATGTACTTAGCTTGTTTTATTCCGAAAAGGATAAATTAAAGAGTCAATTGAAGACATTTAGGGTGTGTCTAACAACAGACACATGGACTTCTATTCAACAAACCAATTATATGGTTCTCACCGCCCATTTTATTGATGATGATTGGATGTTACATAAAAAGATTTTGAATTTTTGTGTTATTCCAAATCATAAAGGAGAATCCATCGCTCAACTTTTGGAGGAGTGTTTAGTGGAGTGGGGTATAGAGAAGGTGTTAACCATTACGGTTGACAATGCTTCCGCAAATGATTCCGGTTTAAGGGACTTGGTGCACCGAATAAGTGGGTGGGGGATTCCTAATGCACTCTTGCATGATGGAAAATATTTGCATATGAGGTGTGTTGCTCATATCCTCAATTTGGTTGTGAATGATGGGATAAAATTGTTGAATACGGCTATACAAAGCATTCGTAATGCGGTTAGGTACGTAAGATCTTCCCCTCAAAGGTTGGAAAGCTTTAAAAGGTGTGTTGAGAAAGTGAGAATAGAGAGCAAAGGGCTTGTGATTTTGGATGTCCCTACTAGGTGGAATTCCACATTTTTAATGTTGGAATCGGCTTTAAAGTTCAAGATGGCTTTTGATAGATTAAAAGTAGATGATGGTCATTACCTTCCGTACTTTGTTAAAGACAATCATGATAATATGAGGGAGGGGCCACCTTCGATGGATGATTGGAGTGAGGCGGGGATATTTGCAATCTTTTTGAGACATTTTTATGAAGTCACTTTAAAAGTATGTTGTTCTAATACTCCAACCGTTCATACTACTTTTGGTGATTTGTTTAAGATCAAAAGTCTCTTGCATGAAAACAAAGATGATCAACTTTTGTCTATGATCTCCAAGTTGATGCAAGAAAAATATGAGAAGTATTGGGGTTCACTTAAGGACATGAATCAATATCTTTTTATAGCACTTGTGCTTGATCCTCGCCACAAATTAGATAAAGTTGTTGATTATTTTGAGATACAATTTTTGTGAGGATGAAGAAAAGGTTGAAAGTGCCACAAATGGGGTGAAGGACTTATTGATTGATCTTTACAAGATTCATGAAAATATGTCTTTGAGTACACAACAAAGTATAAGTGGTGGTGGTAGTTCTCAAACGACAAGTGGAGACTCTTCATCAAGCATGACCGAAATAGAAAGAAAGTTGAAAGAAAAAAGTGAAATGAGAAAAGCAAAGAGAGCCCGGGTTGTGCATAATTATGTTGACAAGTATCTTTCCGATCCTAATGAAGGAGAAGAAGAGGAGAACTTTGATGTATTGAATTGGTGGAGAGTGAATGGGGTTTCTAAGTACCCTATTTTGGCACGTGTTGCAAGAGAGATCTTAGCTATTCCCGTATCAACCATTGCTTCGGAATCTTCCTTTAGTACAAGTGGACGGATAATTGATCCATATCGTAGTTCTTTAAGTCCAAAAATGGTGGAGGCTTTGATATGTACTCAAAATTGGCTTAGGTCCATTCATGTTGCATTACATCATGAGCCAACCATTGAGGAGATGGAGTTTTGTGAAGAAGTTGAGAAAGGTAATTTTATTTATTGCATTTGATTTTGTTAGATTATTTTAAATAATATTTTAATTAATATCTTTTCTTTTATTATTTATATGTAGAAATGGCAAGTGGAAGTTCAAAAAAAGGTGATATGTTGCCCCCTAAGCCACCTAAGCATTAGCAAGCAAATTATCATTGAAAAAGTTGGTGGATCACTCTCATACCATTAAGGCATAAGAAGAGTTTGGAAGCTTTGAACTTTGATGTTTATTTTAAGTTTGGACTTTTGGAAGCTTTGAACTTTAATGTTTATTTAACTTTGGACTTTGGAACACTTGATTATAATTGAACTTTGAATTGAATGTTTATTTTCATTGTCTTTGACGATTATGTTTGAATGATTATATTAGAAATTTGGATGATTATATTAGAAATTTGAATGATTATTTCATTGTCTTTGAATGATTATATTAGAAATTTTGGAATGCTTATTTTGACGATTATGTTGAAATGGGACTTATTACAAAATGGCTACAAGTTGGTTTCATACAATTGTTTTTAGCTACTTGGAAGAGAAAAAAAAAAAAAAAAAAAAAAAACCGAACCGGGCCGAAACTGAACCGAACACAAACCGAAAGAAAACCGAACCGAACCGAACAGTAATTTCGGTTCGGTTTCCGGTTTTGGCAAAAAATCGAACCGAACCCACCCCTAAAAGGATTCTGGAGTCCACTAGATTTTGAAAGAAAACCGAAAAGGTTGTTTGATTAATTCTTAAATTGATGAATTACATTGGAAGCCAAACAACTTAAAAAGCATAAACACAGCCTTAGGGAAGCTCAAGGGTCTTAGGGAATTAAAATGACATGAATTCCAACAGAAATTGAAAAGTTCAACATTTATTACAAAGTTTATTTTGCAGTTTTGGACTTCTAAACAACCCCGGATGGCTAAAATTAATCATACATTGCAACAAAGTATTGAGTTTGAATTGGGATGTTGTGCTTTTTTCGAAAAGGTATCATCAGCTCAAAACGGAGCTCGTACGCCAAATATATGAATTCCCGCTGAGTCCCTTTGTCTTCCTTCAGTCCATTTCTCAAGCAACCAAAAAATCCCAACACAATATTCTTCTTCCTATTTTAACGCCATATTTGGTATTTGAGTGGAGATTTTCTCTAATGCGTCATTCCCTGTCAGTTTTAAAGCGCTCCATTTTTTTTACTTTTCTTCACAAAAATTCACCCCAATCTTGTCCTACATTATTGTCTACTGTAAATCATTTTGGTCATTCCGTGAAAAATTTGTCAATATATTCGTTAAATTATCACGTAAACGATCACGTGACCACCTTTTTAAGAAACCCCTCCACTTGAGGAGAATAGCACCGTAGCAGAATCAGTGCGTACTTACTCTGATTAATTAGTGTCCATTAACTAGAAGAAAAAACAAATATACCAAAAAAATAAACTAGAAAAAAGCGTCTGGTAGTTGGATTTGTTTTTGTTTTAGGCTCTTGCAAGCAATTGTTGACCCAAGTTTAATCATCAAAATTGCACATGTAATACGCATGTCACTTGAGTTTCAATCATCTTATAATTTAGTTTAATTTAAAGTACAGTATAAATTTACCCTTCATCATTTCATTTAGTACAAATTTATCGTTGTATATATCGTAAAAAAAGGTAGAGTATCAAATTATCAATTCTATAGATCTATACAATTAACTCGTTACTTTTCTCTCGCAACAAAAACAATATATTCATTGAAAGGATGGGAGGAAGCATTTGTTCCATCATAAACTATCCTAAATACATATCCGAACCATTCAACCAATAGCTATATTCACAATAATTTCAAAAAAATAAAAAAAATAAAAAAATAAAAATACACTTACTCGAAATAAATACAAAAAGAAAATGCAAAGTTTTGAGGTCTTAATAATTTACAAATACATATGAATTTGCAGTATAGTTACATTTTTTTGGGATATAATAGAATACATACACGATATTATGCATAGTGCAATCATAGTTTCGGTACAAAAGTTCTTCATTGCAGGCAAATTATTATGAGTTTCTGAACGCTACCAGTCACGAATTCCTTCTAGCACGATTACAATGAGCATCACCAATCTCTAAATAAATTTCTCTAGAATCCGTGAGTTGAGAGTATCTGGGGGTCAAAAAGTCTCCAACAGCAAGTTGGAGGACGTACGGACCTCGTTGAAACCGTTATCTCCCTTCTCCGACTTGATAATTTCCAAGACGTTCCCAAGAATGTTGCCTGCAAGCTCCTCTCCATCTTCGTGTATTAATTGACTGATCTGATTCAAGGAAACGACATTCTCTAAAATGACCTTGGCAAAGATAAGGCCAAGAAACTCTGGTGCTCTCGGGGCATCAATCACCGTATCCTCTAAGGTCGACAGAACAGTTTCAAACCTGGGCAGATAAAAGAAGAAATTAAATAATAGAAAAACGTGAAAATATAACTTTAGCCCTTCAAACTCAATTTTCTTCATATAAAACCCTACATAACTTTTTTACTCAAAGAAAACCCAATGACTAGGATCCACATAAGCAAATTCATTAACTTCATATTAATTCACACATTTTACATTTTTCACATGCCTAAAATACCCCTATTACATACTTGATGTAGACAATTAATTGTAAGGAAATAGTAAATGATTTTGCAACAAGAAAAAAAAAAGACATTAATGTTAAAAATTTATTGCATATTAATTTTTTAGAAAGGTTTTGAATTTTCATAAAACTATTCGATTTAGTTTTTTCACCCTACTCTTGAATACTTTTGAATTTATCCCTTTTTATTAATATATTAGAACATTGTATTTCATTATCTACATGCACATTAATTTACCTACAACAATTATACCATGGGTGTAATATAATATCTCTTTTTTACAATGATGCAAAATAATATACCAACAACAAAACGTGCCTAACATATGTACTAATTACATGGAAAATAATTTACCTATATTAAGAAGGAATGTAGTTCGATGCATAGTATTAAAAATATTATGTTACACCCATGTTTATAAAACAATAAAACGTGCCTAACATATCTAACAATACATGGAAAATAATTTACCTACAAGTTAGAGAAATGTTATTTGGTTGGGTGTAGCATAAATTTTTTTAATAATTGGAAAAATTAAATATAACTAGGTGTCGTGTAATTTTTTTTATATAATTAGAACAAATTAATTTACCTACATACTCTTTGAAATGTTCATTTCCAATGATGCAAAATGTTCATTACCTAACTACAAATTAATTTCCAATAATTTACCTACACCAATTATACCATGGGTGTAGGTACCAACAACTAAACTTGCCTAACATAAGTACTTGTACATGGAAAATAATTTACCTATAACAAAAGAAATGCAGTTTGATGTATAAAATCAACAATATTATGTTCCACTCATGTTTCTACAACAACAAAACGTGTCTAACATATATAACAATACATAGAAAATAATTTACCTACAAGTTAGAGGAATGTTATTTGATTCAAAATATATAATATAGGTGTAGTATTTTTTTTTTTTAAATAATTGGAACAAACTAATTTACCTACCAATTAACATGGATAAAATTGCTACAAAATATATCACGAAAAAAAAAAAAACTAATTTTCTAGTTTAACATAGATATGGTTAATGCAAACACTTTTTTCATTTTATTTCACTTTTTCTACTACTTTTAATTTGGCATAAATTTAGGAATTTGAAAAAGGGACCATAAAGTATGAGTGGCATGAGTGTAAATAAATTGCATTAATAGGTCAATAGTGTTACTATATGTTTGCAAATTTTAAATTAGGGCTTAAACTAGATCTTTAAAGATAGATGGGTTTTTATCTAGAAATAATGAATTGTAAGGGCCAAAATCTAAAGCACCCTAGAAAAACGCACAATACCCAGAAGACCGTCAGTTTCAATAACCAAATGCAGATGTAAACTTTCCCTTACCCTTTGATGAGCTGAGATTGACTCAAAGTTCCATCATGGGTCTTTGTAAGGTTGACTAGAAGCTTTGCCAAGAGATCTCTTTCAGCGTCCTTCCTCTCAAAAGAGTCTGTGACCCAAAGAGATATCATCGACGGATGGAAGCTTGGTGAGTTCAACTCTTTAATGCATAAAGCAGCCTCTTTCTCGTCTCGAGCACTGAAAATAGAAAGGAAAACAAAATCAAGGAAGAGCATATGAAAAATCTTAACAAGGGTTATCAGAAGTTGTATAATACATCAAACCATATATATCTAGAACGTAATCTAAAACGAGTTCTTGGAAAGCCAATGACTGAACATCAACTACCTTCTAGATATATATGGTTTCCAAGAACCTCGGTGGATCCCATATTCTGACACCAACTACATTTACGAGTCCGAACGAATTGTGCCTACCACTTTATAACATAGCAAACAAGTAATCGCACAAAAAAATCCATCACAACTAACTCAACTGCTTTACTTTGATTGTTTTATTCCTTTTCCATTCTGTACCACCCCCTGTGGGGTCCATTCAATGCCAGAGACAAACAATCCCGATTCTATTTATGCAACTTGAAGTCGACCAAACAAACTGGAGATGACCAACCATTGCTCCGAAGTCTTATTCATTCCCCAGGCTCAGAACACACATGCCCCACTTTCCTTTCAAGAATTGAACGCATAATCACATTAAGCAAATCATCGGAAGATTTTTTATATCACGCAGAGAATTATCACATCTGAAAGATGCATTGAACTAAGAAAATTACAAAAAATAATTAGAAGTCTAAAGCATGCATGAGACAAGAATTTCTTAACCCCAAAAAAAGAAGTAATGCGACAGGACTGCTGTCTCAAAAATAAGAATATACCTGTAAAATTCTCTAATTGCTGCCAAAGACATATCTCTAAGACGGTCTTCAGTCAACACATTTTCTGAAGGAACATTTTGTGCAGCATCTCTGTGCACTTCCTCAATATTTTTTGGTCCTTCAACTTTGCTCCTCTGCTGCCATTTATTCTTTCTCAAATCAATTGCATCCTTCAACATGAACCTAACCCTAGAAGATAATTTCATGTTATTCGATAAGCTTTTCATCCTTTCAAAATATGCATCCATGTGCTTCTTGGCTTTCGGATGATCAATCATCTCCCCAATTGTGCTCATTAGTATGCACAAAGCTTCAATATCTTCCTCATCTGGAGTCTGTTGCTGACCTAGCAACTTTTTAATGCATTTGTGCATAATTCTCTCCGTCAACATTTTCTTTTTGTATAGTTCCCCAATTAATCTAATGTTACCCAATGTTCGTCTTCGCGCTTTGATTCCTTTCTCCTCTTCTTCTTCTTCAGACTGTTTCACCTGACCCTCTTCATTGGCCTTATAGGCCTCCTTTTGCTCTCTTTCTCCCCTCTCAAATTCCTTCTGGCACTTGCACAAAAGCAATCTCTTAAAAGTTATCTTTTCATTGTCTTCACTGAAACCAGGCAACTCTCCGGCAAGATAAAAACAGAAGTTAGCATACATCTCACAGAAAGTAGGCTCCATAACAGCCTTGTCAAAGATCTGTGAAGTGACACCAGTTAGAGTCGTCACATTCTCTATATTGACAGCTTTCACTTGCTCGAATAGTTTTTCAAAATTTTGAGGAGTTAACTCGTTCAGTATAGCCTTTAACTGCCTTTGCTTGGCCTGCTCTTCCTCACTCACTTTACCCACTTCATATTTCCTGTCAGCTTTGTGCATCACCTGTAATGGAGCATGAGGAGAAGGCATCAAGCCCTTAGGTTGAAAATTCGTATCTCTCTGCCACCTGTCAGCATCAGAATTATTTCTTTGCATCCCTCCCTGATGATCAACAGAGTGAGCAGGCCCAGGCAGGATCCCTCTAACATGCTGCTGAACTGGTGTCGGTGCACGTGGATTCCTCAAAACACCAAAATTTGGTCCTTGGCCAGTTCGGAAATTGGCAGCACCTCCCTTATTCCATCTATCATAATCCATTATTCCACTCCCACGACGGTCAAGTCTTGCGGCCCCTCCTTGCCTATCAACAATTCTTCCCGGACTAGGGAGCGAATCATAATCAATGGAAGGAGCAGCATTCACATTAGCATCCAAGATCTCTGCTATATCAGACTTAATTTCAAAACCTTCTGGAAGCTCAGTAAATTGCTCAGAAAACTTCAACAGGAAATCTCTGGAATATTTCTTCGCCCCATGTTCATGTCCATCTTTGTCAGAATCATCCACTCCACAGACCTGCTCTCCAGTATCTGAGGTTTCCAGTTTTGGGGGAGAGATGTCAGCAGCGTCTTCCCAATCCTCTGGCTCAGCTTTAACCGGTGCATCTTTCTCTCTCCCTACAGCATCTTGCTGAGGAGCATCAGTAGCTACCTGCTTTGAAATTATACTGGTCATAATACTTTCAGTGTTTTCAATACCCTTCTTTTCTTCAGGGTTCTTGTATGCCCCATAAAGATCAGAGGTCACGTCAGCAGCACCTGTCTTAGAAACAATTTCTTTTCTTTTCTTCTCCAAAAGAATTTCTTTTCTTTTCTTCTTCCCCTTTGAAATAGTACTCTTAGTTCCACTCAGTCCAGGTGTATCTGGATGTATAATGTCGACAGGAGTTTTACGAGAGCCGCCAAACTTCCTACTCTGTTGCTGGGGGCATTGTGACGCCCTGCTGATCCCCAAGTTGCCCATCTGAGGTATCCGAGGAACCATTTGGGGGGTAAAAGTCAGGTTCTGGCCCTGATGAATAATTCCATGGGGCTGCATTGGATGGGGCAGCATCCCATTCATGAAACCAGGGCTTATAGACCCAACCTGAATGGCAACGCCCTTGGACGTATCTCCTGGGCCTAAAACCAACAGAAAATATTAATACCTGATTATTTGCACTTATCAATATATCATATCAGCACCTAGGTTGCACGGACACTGCGAAACCCTAAGTGTCGGACACTTTGACACTCCTACTCCTCCGGCCGACACGGTAAACGGTTGGACACGGTCAAGACACTGGTCAACGGGTTGGACACGCCGCGGACACGGGTTCAAGGCTGTTTTTGAAATATTGAAACATATGGGCATTCTCACTGTGGGGGTGGAGACACCGGTTGGAGGGTGGGCGGCTGGGGATGGGCGATGGTGGCTGGGATAATGGGATGGAAGCAGTGGCGGATCCAGGATTTCAAGATCGGGGGTACCAAGATAAAAGTTCATTAAAAAAAAAAAATTAGACTAGTTTGGTTCCATAGCACTATTTTTTATTAAATTTGGTTCATTGAATAATCAAAATTAATCAACCACATCAAGTGGCCAAGTGGTAAGGGCGCGGATTTCGGCTCTTAAAATACAAAAAACAGGAAGGTCCCGGGTTCAAGGCTCCAAGCTAGTGAGTCTGCTTGACTGTGACCATGTGAAAGCTGAAATGCCTTTGTGAGTATTCTCCTTTCTTCTTCTTTATAAGCACTGCTGCATACACATCCATGGAGGCAACAAACCTTTCCGCTGCACCTGTCCAATGCAACAAACCTTTCCGCTGCACCTGTCCAAATTGTTGGAGGGTCCTGGAGGTCGATCACAAGTGTTTCTTCGAGTTTCCAGAGGGTCTCGAGACCTTCCGGGTCCCTATATGGATCCGTCCATGGATGGAGGGCTGGTAGTATTTAAGCTAGGGACAATCAGCCTAAAAAAATTGTTTTGTTTATATTTATAAATATAAATGATGTTATTATTATTATTTTTTCATTTATTTGTTTTTCTTTCCATGTATGCCTAGTTAAACATAGAGGTAAGCATATCCATTTTAGAGGCTTTATCACGAAGAATCCTTATACATCCATGTTTGTCACATCCCGGCCCGGGCCCCCACCACAACCCGGGCCCGCTCCACCACCGTAGCACGATATTGTCCGCTTTGGGCTTACCATTCCCTCACGGTTTTGTTTCTGGGAACTCACACGAGAACTTCCCGATGGGTCACCCATCCTGGGAGTGCTCTCGTGCGCTACTCGCTTAACTTCGGAGTTCCCAGGGAACCCGAAGCCAGTGAGCTCCCAACAGGCCTCGTGCTAGGTAGGGATGGAAATATACATTTAAGGATCACCCCTGGGCGATGTGGAATGTCACAATCCACCCCCCTTAGGGGCCCGACGTCCTCGTCGGCACACACGCGACCAGGGTTAGGCTCTGATACCAATGTCACATCCCGGCCCGGGCCCCCACCACAACCCGGGCCCGCTGGGAACTCACACGAGAACTTCCCGATGGGTCACCCATCCTGGGAGTGCTCTCGTGCGCTACTCGCTTAACTTCGGAGTTCCCAGGGAACCCGAAGCCAGTGAGCTCCCAACAGGCCTCGTGCTAGGTAGGGATGGAAATATACATTTAAGGATCACCCCTGGGCGATGTGGGATGTCACAATCCACCCCCCTTAGGGGCCCGACGTCCTCGTCGGCACACACGCGACCAGGGTTAGGCTCTGATACCAATGTCACATCCCGGCCCGGGCCCCCACCACAACACGGGCCCGCTCCACCACCGTAGCACGATATTGTCCGCTTTGGGCTTACCATTCCCTCACGGTTTTGTTTCTGGGAACTCACACGAGAACTTCCCGATGGGTCACCCATCCTGGGAGTGCTCTCGTGCGCTACTCGCTTAACTTCGGAGTTCCCAGGGAACCCGAAGCCAGTGAGCTCCCAACAGGCCTCGTGCTAGGTAGGGATGGAAATATACATTTAAGGATCACCCCTGGGCGATGTGGGATCTCACAATGTTTAATTATAAATTTGAAGTATTATTTTTAATATATGTAATATATATTATATTTTAATTAACGTGTCCTATCTGTGTCCTATTGTTTTTAGTTTTGTCGTGTCGCATGTTGCCGAATCTATGTCCGTGCAACTTAGATCAGCACGTTAAACTCATTACTAAATCGCCTATTTGGGAGAAAACTGTCAAGAAAATCTAGCATTGACGTCATAACGTTGCTATATAACAGTGAAAATAATGCCTACAATCCCCAACATCGAGTGCAACAACATCCCCATGGTCCAGAGTGTGAACTTACGCTTTGCTGGTATAGTGGGTTTTCTTGTGTCAGAAGTCACGGAGACAGATTGAGAAGTCGGAGGCTTTGGAACAATTTGGGAGCTTCTCTGAGGGGCTGATGCCTCAGCTGTCTGGGGAGCTGTGCTTGCAATGGGCACATCAGAACCTCCTATATTAAATCAATCGCAGGAAAACATTGCCAAGAAATGAAAATCAAACAAAATGGGAAACACAGATTTTAATCTCAGATTCCCAAAACAATCACGATATTATCCAATAAATTTCTAGACTGATAGAACTGAAACTTCGAAATCTGTACCATGCAGTTGGGGCTGTGAATTATGAGCTCCATTTTGTACGTCGCCACGTTGTGCAGGAACCATACCGGAAACCTGAGGACTTACACTGGTTACACTTACAGTGGCGCCGGTGCCCTTAGGGTAAGCGGGTGAGTATCCCCGGTGCTGCTGATTAGAGCTTGCAGATCGCCCTGTTTTCCGGTACCGAGTCTCGTTCTTATCCGACGTTGATTGATTGAAGGACATATATTCCTACGATTAATTCCGAAATTTTTTGTTCCTAAATCTTCTCTGCAACCAAAAATGCAGATCCACAAACCCCAAATCAAATCAATCAAACCTAATTAACCGAAAATCGTACCGTAAAGCGAGTGCTTAAGAGAATTATTAGGGTTTGATTGGAGTACCTTGAGAGTGAGGAGAAAGAATTAAGGTTTTATTCAGAAACCATGAGAAAGTGCAGAGAGTGATATGAGAAAGTGCAGAGAGTGATATGAGCGTAAGTGACTTTAAATGATCGAAAAAGACTTGTAATCCTTCGTACCAAGTTTTTTTCTTTCCTTTTTCCTCACTAAGCAACCTCCTCGCTAAGCAAACTCACTAACCTAAGATAACGGATCCAGATCATCTCCGGACCCTTCTGTGGGGATCCATCGGGATGCTTGCTTTCATTCTGGCCGTTAGATGAGATCGTGCGGCCAGAGATTTATTTATTTATCCATCTCCTCTCTGCAAAACGAGGTCTTCTTCCTCTTTCCTTTCATCTTAAGACCTTACTTTCTCTGCTCTTCCTCCTCCTCCACCTTCCCCATAAATTCAACAATTCAAAGTTTATTTATTTATTTATTTCTAATTCTCCTACGTGATGGATAACCAAGATTCAAGGAAATTCTTGTTCTGTAATTTTTAAAGCTCTAACTAGCTCGGTTCTTGGGTTGTCAAAAATTATTGGACGAAATTTTCGATATTTTCTTCATTGATTGTTTACAAATTGAGAGAAAGACAGACAGAGACGAAGGAAATGAATCCAAATTTAAAGAAAGAAATGGGGGTTCCCAATTCTTTCCCACGCCCAATGAGATATGCCTTCAACTAGCAGTTGATTCAGGGCATGTCCCTTGGACTTGCTTCAAGGCGCCCGAGGACTTGTGCCTTCATTTCCTCTATGGGCTAGGGTGAATACTACCAGCGGATCTGGTGAATCCTTGAATAGTCGTCCCTCTGCTAACCAAAAAGAAGCCACTGATGCGGATAAAAAAAGACGGGGTGGAAGGTTCCCAGGAGAGATTTGGAGCATAGGGAAAAAAGACTTTTGGAAAGGATTTTTCCAAATAAAAAAACCCGTAATTTAGAAATTAAAATAAAGTTGCGCAGAGATGGAGATGGAGATGGAAAAGGAGAAGACAGCACCAGCGACAGAGAAATATGAGCAAAATATTGCAGAGACCGGTGCAAGTGTGTTATGAACCTAACAAAGAGAAGGGGAAGACTGAAGAGAGACAACCGGAACGGAAGGAGAGTATACCTGCCGACCTCGTTTTGCGAAGAGGAGTTTTAAAAAAACAATTAATCTGTGGCCGCACGATCTCATCCAACGGACATAATGAAATCGTCCGGTCGGATCCCCAGAGAAAGATCCGAAGATTAGCTGAATCCTATAATAACGACAAAAACATAAAAAGTTTATTCGTGCCTATTTAATTTTCTAGTGTCACCTCTTGGTACTGTGTAATAGTGTTCAATTTTATTTGTAAATGAGAGATGTTAGATTTGATTTTCGTTAAAAATGAATTTGAACTACATTATTATTAGCTCATTATGAGGCTTAGCCCACTTCCTCATCCTTTAATGAAGATAATATCATATGTTAAAAAAAAAAAAATTCTAGTATCATTGCTGCTTTGTATTACGATTTAATAATATTAATTTTCAGTTGTAAGTGAAAGTTTTTCTTTTCTATCAATTTGGTGCACGCACACTATTTGATCAATTTAATAAAAGTTCAACAATCAATTCGGTCAAAGGCTAACTTGATACAATTTTAATACCTTATAGTGTCAACTAACCAATGTAGTTCGTCAATACTTATCAATTTTATTGTTTAATTTTCTTTAGTTTTTTACTTTTTATATGTTTCTATGATTATTATTTTTTGTTTGTTTTGCTTTGTGATCAGTGGCGAAACCATAGAGGCACAAAGAGGTGCAGCCGCATCTCTATCGTCTGAAATTGACCCTAAAAGCGAGAATTTGCACCCTAATTTCTCTGAACTTGCACGAAATAGACACAGAACGTTGCTGCTGCACTGTGCGAGGCTTTTCTGCCGGTACTATCGGCAAAAATTCGCCTCATCGATATAAGTGAATATCCGTTTAATATTGGTACTATTGGCGAATATTGAAGAAATAAGTCAAAATATTGGCCTTTCCGGTGCGAGCAACGATTGTTGCAAAAGTAGCGGTTCAAAAAACGTCGCGAGAAAGAATAAGCATGCAGTTCTTGGGTTTACTTCTGTAAGTTGAAATGTATAGTTTTAATTTTGTTGTGGCTAACAATGAAACTATAGCTGCAAGCACTTCTGATTTTTTTTTCTTCTTTTTTGTTCTTTTCTTTTTTTTTTTCAAATATTATAAACAAAAAAAAAAAAAAATCAACCTCAAACATGCCGTTCAGATAAGAAAAAAAAACCATAAAGTTTACGTTAAGATGAAATTATTAATCAAACCATTCTTAAAATTTTCTTTCTAGTTCAGAGTTTCATAAAAAATAGAAAGTAACTCACATTATATAAGAAATGTATTTTTCTTTTTAGTAGCATCGTTTGTATTAAAGAAATGCGCACCTTATATATTTTCATAAAAGAAACTCAATTTCATATACATGTGTAAAACATGGTATATAATGCAATATAATAAGATACATATTACTTAGCTTATATACCAAATGTCGTTCATATACAAATATTTTCTCAAAATATTCGTCGATATATTTGTAAGTTACGCTATCGGTATTTTCACAAAAATTGATATCTAAAACCTTGGATATTGTGAAAACACCAATGCGAAATAAAATGGAAGATCAATGGATGAGTAATAGTATGGTTGTTTACATTGAGAGATGTGTTTTTGCTTTTATTGATAATGAGCCTATTATGCGACGCTTTCATGACATAAAACCTTATCGACATCAATGTATTAATCAATTATGAATGACATTAACATTATTTACTATCTAAAAGGATATTTTTGTCTAAATTTTTTTGGGACATCTAACCCTTTTAAATTTTGCCCTCTCCGGACAACTCTTGGCTTCGCCACTGTTTGTGGTAGTGTTCATGCAGTGATATCTTTTGATGAAGCTTTTGTGTCTTGATATTTATGTTTGTGTTTCGGATGGACCATTTTGAGTTGTCCATTGTATCTTATTATTGTGTTTTACTAAAGCATTTTAGCCTAACAAAAAAGATGTACACATCTCTACCTTAGTGCATCAATCCCATGTGTCATTTTGTTTACCGCGTGTCGATAATTTTCTATTATATGCACAGGTCGTCTAATGAGTTTTGTTCTTGTTTACCGCTTCTCTTATGAAAATTTACTTATGTTAATTCATTCTTTTTCAATTACTAACTAGTCAATTTCTTAAAAAATTATATTGTTCATTGTTAGTTTCAATTTCTTTTACCTTTTAATCTTTATCTTCGTCTTTAGGAGATGTATTCTATTGAGTGTTTGAAGGATTTGAAAAAGAATTATAAATCCATGAAGTTTAATGGGGTTTCATAGACTTCATGTGAGTTTTAGGTGAATTCATTCAAAATCTTAGGGGAGAGAGGCCTAATTTCCTAATGCCTAAAAAACATTATAAAATTCTTCACTCTTTAAGATACTTTAAAATCAAATCCTTATTGAATACACATCGAGTTTTATGAACTACTTTAAAATCTTGAAGAATACACCCGGATTTATGTGGAACTCTATAAACTTCTTTAAAATCTTAATTGAATACCCCCTTAATTTTTAAGTATTGCAGATTTTCTATTAGAGAAATGCCAGCAGGACTTGCCTAAAAAGCAAGTCCAGCAAGACTCTTTATTCAAAAAGTTATAATTACATGAAGAATTGGACTTTTGTGTTTTTACAAAACCCCAAAAGTATGTGTTTTGCATTATAGCCCAAGTTGAGGTTATTGCATTTTAGCCCAAATTAGGATGAGAACAAAATAGTCTTCTTTTTAAATGAGAATTGGATTTTCATTTCATTTATTTCTATTTAAATCAATTCTACGGATACAAAGACCAAATGACATTATTGCATTCAAGTTTAATGAGTTAAAGTTTTAATTAATTAAAGAAATCATGATTATGAACCTAAGCCTTCGATAATTGAGTTAGGTGATAGGTCGTCTCTCAAATTTATTTGAACCATGGGAAAGTATAGATTAGATTTTTGTTTTAATTTGATATGATCAAATGTTGTAAAAGAGCACAAGCTTTTCTTTACATTAAAAGTACTCCTCTTATGTTTTTTTTTTTTTTGTAACAAACAATATTGTCTACACTAAAGGGGTGGGCTAAACCTCACAATGGACTAGCTATAATGTGATTCAAATTCACCTTTGGCGACAATCGAACTTAAGACATCTCACTTACAAGTCAAGATCGATCTTTACAAAATATCTTAACTTCTTTTTTTTCTTTCTTTAATAAAGATTTGATAGAAATGTAAGTTTCTCCAGTAATGTGACTTTCTATGTGAAAAGAAAAAAGGAAATCTATAAAGAATGAAAGAATATGTCTTTCCAAATCGATCTTACTAAACATCTTAACTTTGTCTTCTTCTTTTTTTTAATAAAGATTCCATTGTGGTGTAAAGTGTCTCCAATAATGTGAGTTTGGCCTTTACAGCTTTTATCTTTACCAAAAGCATGGATGTCATGGTTGATCTTTACTAAATATCTTAAACCTTTTATTCTTTTTGTTTTAATAAAAATTCAACTGGGAATTTTGCACATACACCACTTGGACGATTATGGTTTCTGCAAATATCCCTTAAAGAATTTCTTTTGACAACTAACCATGGTTCAAAACAGACTAAAGGCCAACAATACCAATACATAGAAGCCGACCAAATGAACAAAATTTGGAGACTGATTAACCAAACAATAGTCCCAAAATCACCAAGACACATAATTGAAAAGGAATACCAGTTGACCGTAGTACTAAAATCAATCACCATTCCTAGACCGAGATCCAACACTAGCTCATGTTGGATCAAGTTAAAGGTTAATAGTCATCCTAAGGCCTTAAGGCAACTATACAGTCCATCAAAGAATACAAAGTTTATGTTAGTAGTACCATAAAATCTTGCTTTAAAAATGTTTTACAAGCATAGTGGGAG